AGCGGTCGCCTGCGGTAGTGTTCGTTTTGCTCGGTGGTGTTCCTCGCGCGTCTCTTCAGTGGTGCTAGTAGCTCGGCTGGCAAGGATGTCGCTTCGCGGTCGCGGTCGCGTTCAGGGGTCGAGATGGCCATCTCTCTCACGCGTCCCGATCGCAAACTCATTCACACAACAGCGCAATCCGACTCTTCGCGTCGTATACCTTAGTCTGTTCGTTGCGATATACAGTCCTGATTTCTGATTTATTGTACACTCAGTGGTTGATCCGCAATCATACAGTTGTTAGCGATTGCGGCTTCACCCCTGTAGGCAGCGTTCCAAAAGTTCAGTCATCAGAAGATCGAGGATTGACCAATCACACCGATGGTTCTGCTGCTGACTTCTTGTACTAAGCTACATAAGGAAGGTGGGGCTGCTCAAATCCGTTGCGCAGCTGCGCATAAGGGTGGAGCCGCAATCGCTAACAACTGTAGCAGTAGTGTCGCTCGTAATGATTCAAAGCGCTCATGTGCTGATTAGCGGACAACTGAGAACGAAATCTCCTGTCACAAGTCTCGCACTCAAATTGAGGCTCCCAATGTCCCGTAGCGTCCATGTGCTGATCTGCCGAGCGCTGGGTATGAAATCGCTTGTTACAAGTTTCGCACTCGAACTGGGGCTCCCAGTGTCCTGTGTCGTCCATGTGCTGGTTCGCGGAGCGTTGACTAAAGAACTCTCGATCGCATGTGTCACATTCGAATTGTGGGGCCCAGTGGTCAAGTGCATCCATGTGCTGGATGGCGGCTTGCTGGCTACCAAACTCGCGATCGCACGTCTCGCATTCGTTGTCGTAGTACATAATGAGCTCGTTATGCAGTGTTGGTATGTCGAGGTTTGATCAGACAACGAATTTTTGGATTGTGTAAGAGTGAAGGTTGGCCTGCAATGCAGCCTGCAGAGCAACACAACTGGAAAAGTGAGGAACGCGGGGCTCGTTTGTGTACATACGCTCACTCTACCATATTGCGCAGCCGCTTGCACTCGCAGTTCTCACCCCCCCTTCCATAGTGCATACATATCTCACTCTCGTACCGATCTCCCTCGATGCAGGCTTTCCCGTAATCGGCCTAGTTATCACAATCATTGTTGCTTCATTGGCTTAACTACAATTTTTTGTAACTGCTGACAACCAATATACGCTAAGATCGTCGTGTGGTGTCCTGATGTGCATGATAGGCCTCAAAGTGTGCAACTCTACGACTGAAGGTACATATGCATCCGCTGAGATCTGGCCCGCTCGTTGCAAAGCATGAAAGCAGCGAGCGCAATACATCAGGCTAGTTACGTACTTTAGGTTGCTTATCATCCACCTATAACTATAGAAAGACGATCTTCCCCTCTTTTGACTCTGCCACCCTTTTCAGGCGCTGTACTGCTGTGTCACGAATATAGAATGCCGACACTCTTGATTACGCTTACAGCCAGTAAACAGGATGAAGGGTGCAACTCAAAACGCAACCCCGCAATCCTTCTAACCACCTCCCAATTACATCGCGTGCTCAGCCATCACTATATCTTGGCGGTACCGAGAAGATCAGCAGACTGCAGCACGGCACAGTATACAGCAATTGGCAGCAAGCCCTTATGACCCATTTTTCTCAACCAATGAGCAGTTTGAGGGATGCGGTCTGATACGCTGCGATCCTTCCAACCGTGCCGCAATCAGGTGACCAATCACGTGATCTGTACATCCTAGTACTCCTGAGTCACTGAGCACTCCGAATATCAAACCACAAGACGCTGAGTAGTCAGTAAATCCTAGCAAGACTGAGCAGATTGCATGATGCACTAATATTTAGCAATAGATAATGAACTCTCATGATTCATTGTGTTCAACTTAACAAGGCCGAATTCTGATACCTTCTGTCAGATTGAAGCAGCAGAAGCAGCAGTATCCAGATGTGATTTGGATCCACCGGATCCTGTATACGGCTAACCAGAAGTTCTCTGCCAAGACTACCTTGATCCCAGTTGATACGAGGGGGGGCTCATGTCATATTGCAGACTTTAAGATACCAATACCACTCTTAAGAGATGCGCTGGCGCGTCTCTGGAACACAGAGAATACAACCACTTTTCACCATCAATTTACTGTTCTTGGAAACCCATCACAACATGACACCTTCACAATGCTCAAATCGTGGTCTGCGCGCCACCCTCAATCTTCTTATGTCTTCTGCCGCCTACACGCATGCCAAATTTTATAGCACAAGGATGGCGAAGATGAGCAAGGCAAGAAAGGGTTTTTATGACGATTGTTCGGCTATTTACAGCTTGAAGTCTAAGTTACTCCTATCTGCTCTGGCCGCTAGCCGCAGAACCGACTTCACGGTCTCCTACTCTGACACAACCCAGCTTCCGCACCATCTACAAGGTACCGAAATCTCTCGTATGAACACACATACATATATCAACGCCAAAGCCACAGCCTACATGGAGACTTGCCACTAGTTATCCTGTAGTCGGTCAGATATTCTCTCAGCGGTTCTTGAAGATTGCTAACCCTATTGTTTTTTTCGAAATCATCTCACCATAACAACCATTGCAGCAAAGATGGTTCCACTGGTTAGAACGGATAGCCACAAGTTTGGATTTCTTCTCTCTATCGCACCGAACGCACACAAAATTGGTAGGCGAGGCGAGGCGATGTAGTGTCCAGTTCCCTCGAGGCAGGTATTGCTTGATTACTTGGGGCAAGTTTGCAGTCACGCTCTTAGCACCTTCATAGACCAAAGTGTTTCCAATATCTTTTTTGGACTCCTGTGTCATGGTCTGTAGTGAAAAATGAATTGAAAGATTTTGCTGGCGTCAATGTGGAAGGGTTTATAGAGGACGAGGTCAGAACTGATAACATTTCTTATTTTACCCGCCACTTAAATCAACTCGAGCATGCTGAGTTGGTCTCGCATGATTATCTGCCGTTCCCTTGTTACTGTTATCACCAAGGTTGGATGATCCTGCAAGCACTTTAGTTCAAGCATTGCGTGCTTAGCTACAGTATTCTCTCTAATTATATATTTTTGGGTACATGTTCAGTTGCATAAAGAATCGGATGGAAGATCTAGTAACTATCATGGTGGAGGCACTTCTGTTGACGAGCTTTCGGATGAACTGAAAGTCGACGCTTCGCGGCAAAATGCAAAAGGTTATCGGGGCCCTTGCCTTTAAATATGTACATTGAAAAAGAATTCGAGATTAGACGCTCTGGTATTGCCTACTCCCTAAAAGGTCGTGTAACTATAGGGAAGAAAGCCAGAATCACGAGACCTGGTTGTTGTTCGATGCGAGATTGAAGATTAATGCGAGGACTGGTACAGTAGCATACTTTGCAGCGAGAAGATCAAGTTGCTTCGAGATAAGGCGTAATACAGTACATATTCTGGTTAACATGCTTACGTATTAGTTGAAGATTGGGAGAGTTTTCGTCTTCAAAAATTGCAAGATATGGATATGGTGCTGGTCGATACCTGTGCCGATTGTAATCCATTCTAGCGGTAAGTCTGCTATATTGCCTTGGCACAACTTGTTAATTAACTACCATAGTCTCCGCCATTCTGTATAGTGTTCGATTCCACTGGAGCAAGATGAAAGCAGAAGATCGAATTCCTCCTGCGAACCAATCTCGTCTGGTTTTAGCTTTAGCTTCAGAGGCCATGGTTCTACAATCGTGTTTCTCTCCTTTATCATCAATCCTGCGCCACTAGCCGCAGACTCGAACTTTTGGAGTTTCATGTACCTACACATTGATCAATAGGATGTTCTGGTCACTAGTTTTATAACTTAACTCACATTTGGAAGTAGGTTTCAGCGTCCAATGCGAGTGTCCGACTGTCCCAAGCTTTGTAAAAGTCTGCTCCTTGGCGTAAAACCCTGACAATATCTAAACTTCCGGGTAGATACTGGGCCAGGAAATCGATATCAGGCATCGTATCTGTTCCTGTCATTTTTGCCATTTCCACCACCGCGTTTAAGTAGCAGGTTATGATCGTTGCATCAGCATTCTCTGCTGTTGCCTGGAGGAGTGGAGCAAAGAGAGACAAAACGCGACGTGTCCCTACGTAACCCGCATCTGATATATTTGAGACCTATGAATGCTGTAAATCTGGAGCGTGAATGAAATGTTCAATATACTTACCTCGATCCTGTCATACGACTGTGGCACTAGTAGCTGTGGGAGCGTGGTTGCATCGACGTTGAATAATTCGAGACGCAGATTGAGGTTGAACAAGCGGTATAGGAACGCCTGAAACTCCTCACGCAAATACACGAACAACTTCCCGTATATGTCGCAAGACGGCTTCCATGGAATTTGATAGACATCTCTGATACACCAACCCGCCATGGGATCTGACTTGTCGTCGAAAGGCCAGCAGTCACCTGTCTGGAACATTGTTCTAGTACTCGTTAGCTGATGAAATATATGTAACACATAGTTAGATCTTACTTACGGATTGGGAATATCGAAGTCAGTCCGAGGATGGCCAAAGGGGAGCAACAAGCCATCACGCCGAAATCTTCGCTTTGCGAGGCGCATGGATGGGCTTGCATCCTTGTAATACCCTCTGTCCCTATAATCAGCTCTCTCTGGGGACAACATCACCGCTTCGCGGATTTTCTTTGCAGATTGTTGTGTCAATCCAGCGGGAACCTTGAGATACTCTGCGACCAATGGCCACTTATCTGGCGGAAGCGTAATGGACAAAATCTTGGATCGAGAGAATGTCCAGGTTTTCCTGACCATGCCTTGATGTACAGCCTCTGTAGTGTGAGTGCGACTGTCTCCGAGCAGCTTACCAATTTTACTTCTCATTGAAGTAGCCAAGCTTTTTGGAATAAAGGCGGAGTACCATACATGGATTAGTGCCTCGACTGCAGAGTCAAATGAAGGTTGATTCGAAGTTTTGTCGTTGAGAGAAGCGAAAACCAAAAGAAGTATCACCGCGTTGCGCGCCACGACATCAAACTCCCAGTCGTTGACTGTGACGTCCATTTGGCGACTGAAAGAATCCGGTAAACTACGGATAGTCTTGATCAAGTTCCTGAGGTCACCGGAGGCTACACATGATCAGCTGCACGAGACGAAAAGCATTTTCGTAAAGCTTACCCGCAAAGAGCAATTTGATATCTTTGTCGTACCCCTGGCCTTCGTTTTCAAGTACTCGCAGGATGTCGATTGCTGGGACATTTCCCCAAAGATACTTGCTAGAGCCGAAGGGGTTGTGTAGGTTCCTCGAGGCATCACCGTTCGCCCATATCGGTGCCCGATTGGCACGGTCCCACTCTGGCGTCCAGCTTGACTTATTGAGAGGACTTCTGCATTCTACTTTGTGAATGGGCCAGTGCAGCCGTTGGCAATCTGCTCCACAATACTTGGTGCTTGTTTAGATATGGGCATTGCCTCGTAGGGTGATTTCTGATGCTCACCGCCACGAGCTTGCAATTTTTGCAAGCAAACAAACCTTCGGATTTGCAAGACTCGCCAACAGCCTGATTCGCACATCGAAGGGGTAAGATGGAACTGAAGTTCATGGCCATGATGCCACAGTATACTAGACGACGATAAGTCGGGCCAATCCTTGCGTATAAAGGGAAAACAGCCCTGCGCTCTTCTTACCTACCTCTCGATGTCAAAAGCAAGGTACTGAGGCCGCTCACGTACCAACGCGCTAGCGGACACATATATTATGCAGCCGCGCCATGGCGTCGCGTGCATCGCCAAATTCGCGCCTGAGCATATGCTCCGTGGTGGCAGACACATTTTGCGCGGCCAATTAGCGGTAGGTGGCGAAACTAGCCTCATGGAATTGCGAAATGCAGTAAGTTTCAGTGCAGCCATTGTCTGGGGTTGCGGTCAAGGCAACAACTCTAACAACCCTTAGACACAGATTATGATTGGCCTAGAGTTAAAACTTCTCAAGATTTATGGACCTATTTGATGTTTGTCAGCCTCGCAAAATACGTTTGCGAACATGAAGTAGCGAATGTAATCGCTTATCGACTAAATGTGCATACAGCCACTATATGCATGACTCGTAACGAGGGCAACCTATAGCAAGGCTCTGGTATGAACCAATGCCAGCTGAATGGCCAAAGTGTGCCGCCTGGCCACCTTTGACGTCAAATAGCGGGCTAATGAGCTGACGTGAATCAGACAACTGCAGTATGTGGGACATACCTACCTACTTCATCTGAAAGTGCAAATCAGTGCTGTGCAATTATTCCCAAGTGCTAATGCGATGTACAGTAACAAGACTGTATCTCAAGTCTCGAGCTTGTGTAGGAGAATGACGATTTTGCCGTCTTGCTTGAAACGCTGAAGCGCCAGCACAAGTTGACTTCTTAGTAACAGCTACGCTTCCCGTCTCTCGCGATACTCCGCCCTGCAATGCGTTCGCAGAACCTGGCCGTCGCAGAAGATCAAATCGAAACTTTCCCCATAAAAGGGACGGTCGAACAGAAATTTGGTAGCATTAGGGTGTTCTGTCGGGATATGGATAACGTCCATCTCGGCCGCTAGCATCGTGATATCGAAGAAGCGGACTCGTATCCTTGGGTCGCTTTGTCAGTTAGGAAGTGTCATTTCATGGCCACCCTGGGATATAGGAAGACTGATTCTGCATACCCTGGCATAGCAGCTTCTTTTCAAGAGGCCGTGAAGCCGCCAGATGCCATGCAGAGGTCAAGGATGGCAGGATTTTTGGTAAATGATGATGTTGATGGCAGAGCTGAAGCTCATCGCCAATCTGACACATCATATCATAGAACATCTGTTTTCCAGATTTTATCTGCATTGTCTGCTCGATAACGTTGCACTTTAAAATGATCATCACCTTGAGGATTCTCCCATCCCTAGTCGTGCGGTCAGGGCGTTACACAAACAATCCTTTGAGGAAACGTGCCCTGCGCCGAAGATTCGTGAGATCCCTGAATATAGCTGCATGCTTGATGCAGTCTTTGATAGCCAAGTCGGGGCAAGGGATCGATGGCTCGATCAGTGAGATCTTGTGACTCACGCCATTAGAAATTTTACTTTGTGGCTGATTGCTAAACATCGCTTCACGTATAAGTGTTCAGATGCAGGACTCAACAACGTTCAGTCCAAGGGTGTGGAGGCCTCAGACATTTCTGGCGTCAAGGGTATAGATATGACACGCCCTAGATCGTCACTTTTCCTCAACACCTTCACTCACATCTTACATCAACACTCGGAAAGCAAGCCAGCGCTTCGGTCTGACATGTGTCACTGCGTCACTGGATGTCTTGCAAGCCACAGTTACACAACAGCATTCCGCGTGCATACATCAATGCATGGTGTGATCATCGCCGATATAATACCACCTAAGTGATTTTCGAACATTAGTGACGCCAAGATCCAAGCTCCAGTATATCGAGACAGTCTAATGACTGACTTATCTCACAGGAGCGATGTGGCAATAAAGGCTGGATACCCATCCTGATGGTTTCCTTGTTCCGTCAAACAGGGATGGTAAAGCGACAAACTTAATGATTGTATAATATAAGCCACATGTCGAATGGTTACATGATACGACTGTTCCAATTGAATATTCGTGACTCCAGGTACTTACCAAGGGTAGCGAGCCGCCCAAATCACGTGTGGATGTACATCGGCGGCCTTGTTGATAGAAAAGTTGCTGGTTGTAGTCTGACAGGTTGTTACTATTTTGTGCAGAACAACAGTTTTTGACCGCGTCTAAGTTTGATATTGGGTCGTAGCTTCCGGTATTAGCGTGGGATCGCTTGCTGCTCCTCACGCTGTTATCGAGCCCAACAGCCATAAACTTGAACCGAAAGCCGAGTGACCTAAATTGCCACACTCCGCACTGATTTAGGTGATTATCGTATGGTGTCCTAGTGTGCATGGTAAGCCTCAAAGGGTAGGCCACCATAGCTGAAGGCATGCACCCGCTGAGAGATATGGCCCGCTCGTTGCAGAACGGGAAAGCGGCTATTAGTGCACTCGCATTGGACACAGTACATCAAGCTACGTACATCGCTTATCGCCTGCCCATGTAGCAAGACAACTCTTTCCCTCCTTCACCTTAATACGCTAAAAATTGCAGCATTTCCAGACACGATGTTCTAGTATTGAAATCTGACTATCATCACGCTTTTCTCACAAAGACTACGAGCTCGATTTCTCGTCAAGCTGAACTATCATTTCACCGTCAATCCAGACCCAAAACTAGCAAAGCCTTGCAGCTTGTCGCCATGCCTCCGCTTAGCCTTGAGGCGACACTTTACCTTTTCCACCATATTGTACTGCCTCCAAAGCTACCACAGACGAACGACTGGAAGGTAGAACATGAAGATGCACTGCTTGACATAACAGTGGAAGCCCTCCAGACGTTCGGTGAGGCTGTCCAAAAAGAACAACCGAAAGTAGCTAGGCATGTACACAAATTTCGATTTTTCGTTCATCTCTATCGAGCCTCTTCAAGGGCATTTCAGACCACCGTCACGTCTGGCATTTGGTCACTTTAGGCCTTGGAGAGTACCTTCACAAGATTTTAGCCCTCGATTGGAGCCGTCAATATTGGTGCACCTCTAACATATATTCCCACCCTACAGCCACATAGATCTCGTAGCATCTGCAATCCACAACCTGCGTCGCATCCGCAATACGTCCGGATTTGTCGCCGACTCCCGACTCGCAGACTTGCTCCATGGCCTGGCCTCCAATAAGACGTCTGGGACTGTCCCCATCGAGATAAAGGCACAAAACGCGGCGGTGATCGTCAGTAAACAAGAAGCAGGTGCTGATGTCGTCTTTGAAGTTTTCGAACTGTCACCGCCAAATGAGACCGTGATGCGAACGAAAGGTCAACTCAAGCGCTCCTTTCCGACTTTTGCTTGTCAAGTCTCTCTCCAACAGTTCCAGGAACAAGGTTTGATTGAAGCACTAGCGCAAACGCTTGGGAGGATGAGCTGGGAAGCAGCTCCGGGCTTCCAGTCTCAGACCCGCAAGAATGAGCAAGACCACGATGAGACTCGCGATACCACGCATCCAGGCTTGATCACTGATTTCCTCATGCATATCCTCTCCGTCGTTGGTCAGCCCACTGATGTGCAGGGTGTTTGGAAGAACACTCGCGAAGATGTTCTATGTTCCAAAGGCTTCCTGCCCTGGAGAAGATCTGCCTTGTGGCTCCTTGTTCGCACAACAATGCAGCTTCAAATCGCTCGCATGTCGTCCGCAAACGTGTACAAGGCTGTCATGGTGAATCTGTTAGCGAGGCTCCTCCAAAGTGTGAAAGCCCATTACGAGTTGATAGGTACGTAGGGTCAGTTCGCGTGTCAAAGTGCCCTCCAATCCCACAGTACCATCCGTTAAGCGTGATTATTTCTGTTGCAGAGGCTGAGAAATCAGGTTTTGCTGTTGGTCGAGCAGCCCTAAATTACCCGAATAGCCTGCTAATGTCTTGTGGGAACCTCTAGATATCGACCTGATGTACATCATCTCCGCCAAGCTGACCGGCCGCCTACAGAAGTTGAGGAAGCTGATTTCCGGGCGCTCCTTCGACCTCTACACCAAGTCTGCCCAGAAGCTTCTAGACGAGGCACGATTGTCGATGGTCGCAAGGATTGAACGTGCTACGAACAGCGCACATAACAATATAGATGTGGCAGTACTCGCCGATCTTCAGCCCGACAACGAGCTTGACATCCATCTCCCAGAAGTGGATGACTTCATTACGAAGATTTCTCGTAGGAAACGCCAAGTTGATGTATCAGATTTTCAACCTACTTCAACATGTCTGGTATACCTAGAGCATGAGCTGCCCACCAACTTCAGCGGCTCAGGAGAATACACGTACTTCTACTTGGCGACAGTTGAGGGATGGGTCGAAGATCACCTTTCCTCTTGGGTTGAGCGATGCATCTCCTATGATACGTCATGTGAAAAGCTACGCGGGCTTCTCGAAGAGTATTTCCACCAGGCGAGTTCGGCATACAGCACCCCAAGCAATATACCAAGGAGTCTATCGACCATGTATCTTACCGTTATGGAGTTATGGATTGCATGTGACAAGTGCGCTTGTAGGATGTATCCATTGCTACACGACTTCGACCCAGAAGTGGAATTGTCCTCTTTCCAGTCGCTTTCCTTGCCCTTCAAGAGTCAGTTGGAGCGGCTGTTGGTCGCTGAGGCCTACCTGCAATGCCGCCGAAGAGATGCGAGGGCCGATGCTCCATCCCTCTACCGCGACTTTGGCCTTCCATCTTCTTTCACAGTCAGGTTTTTTGATGGATCTCTGGAACATCACAGGTTACTCTCAGATATCAGGCAGCAGGCAACTGTGGCACGTGAAGAGAAGTGCCGCGAATTGGCTCAAAAGAAACAACAGTATCATGACCTTATAGCTGCGTCTGATAAGCGTGACTGTGACTACCAAGAAGTTTACAACCGGTACTACGGATCAAGCAGCACTGAACACGCCCCGTGGTGCGAGAAATGCAGTTTGCGTTCTCGAGCTGAACAACTCGAAATTCATGTCCATGAATGGCCGCTTCATTCAGACGAATCGATCGCAAAAGCAACGGTTTTTGAACTACGAATTCCAACGGCCTACAGTCACTGGCGCGACGCGACGATGTTCTTACGGGTGGAAGTGTTAGGCTTCATCCATACCAAAACCACAGAATCAAGCCCAAAATACGGTCTCAACAGACAAGATGGGTTGAGCAGTTTTTGGGCCTCCCCGTCCTGTCGGCGTGTTAACCTTGTTTCCGAGGTCAAGCCGCTGACAGGGAGCCACTACCGCGTCAAGAACGGTGTTGTCTTCTTACAAGAGAAGGACATTTGTGTTGAAAATGCACTTCGATACCGGTACTTCGACAGCTCGCACAACACCTTCATTACTATCCTGCGCTCCACGCCACAAGTATCGAAAAAGTGCACATACCAACTTCCGGCTCGCTCATCGAAACTTCAAGCCTACTTGCGAACACCCACCACTTCGAACGACATAACCCCGAATCAAGTGATTGCACGTTTGTCAGATTGCCCCTCACATTTCTCTTTGGACGAATACAAGGCCTTCGGATCTCTTCCGATTGGGTATAGAATCCAATACCAGAATATTCTTGTGCAACTTGCAATGCCAACCCTGGACTTGAATAAGACCGAGACACAGTGCTTGATTTTGCAGACGATACATCGCGCAGGCCCACCCACAAGCAACAGCAATCCAGAGCGGATTGCTCACGAGATCCTTACCGATGAGTTATTCTGTGGCGCTCTTACGAATAAGATTGAGGCCGCTTTGCGGCGCGTGAGCGAGAATTGGGAGACTTGGAGAGCTGTCGCAGCTCTTGTGCAGGTGACGTTGCGAATACTCAGCATCAATACCTCCGATCGAATCGCTGCAAGATGCATAGAGCTGCTTCAAGAGGCTCGTCTGATATCTCTGAAATGGTTGAATCGCCTCAAGAAACGGCTCCCTACAGCGACAGATGACTCGCAACGAAAGGAGCTCTCTTCTAGGCTTACTGAGATTGGCCTCCTGTGTACGAGTACATTCGACACTGATGGGGAATGTCTAGAAGACATGCTTTGTTCCTCTTCTGCAGTTTCAGTATTGCTTCAGACTTCAATCGTAGTGCAGGAGAACAAGGACGTCACGTCTTCAGAGCACGAGTACCTTCATCACGCTATGCTGCAGTCATGGAGATTGCTGCTTCTTCGAGCGTTGCCAGTGATTGCCAAAGACATATCTTCTGACACTGTACAAGAAGGTCTGAGCCAAGCTGTGGCAACATCATGGGCAATCTTTCGCCCTACGAACCGCTGGATTGTACTTGAGAATCCTCAGCATCACTGGATGTACGTCGAATACGACGCAAAAGCTGTTCATTTCAACCTACTTACCGCTGAGCTGCTTGTAAACGGTCTACCACTGTCTCGGCTCCCAGTGCAATACACACAACATCATCTGTATTCTTCACTTTTCGACAAGGTGCCGATAGAGGTGACGTCTGCCGTGGAGCCAGGGATGGAGTTTTCTGCGATGCACCCTTTCCACCCCGATTGGTGTTACAACCTCAGCTTTGGAATGGAAGGCTCAGACATGCTTGTTCTAGCTGCCCGAGGTGGAACGAAGTTTGATCTTATACCCTCCCGTGTATTCAAGAGCCTACTTCCTACGATGTTTGTTGATGACTACTTCCACTGGTACGACCACGATACCGAAGAAGTTGAGTTTCGTCCTCGTAATAATCCCTGGGCTTCTACCTGTGGGCTGTGGTGTTTGAAGAGATATGGAGCTAGTTGGCGCCTCGAGAAGGGAGATACGTATCTAGTGAGTCCAGCAAGCAACACTGGCAGCACAATATCGAAGATCTTATCGCCTTTGGAGCTTCAATCGCACATCCACATCTTGTCTGAAAATTCTTCTGCCACCCTTATAGAGCTTCCCCGGCGACGACTAGGCTTCCATCACACACAAGGCGACTCTAGGATCTACTCCCATCAGTACAAGGGGATGGTCGTCGACACCGATCGGCGAATGGGAACGTTGTATGGGCTGGCCACCGTACTCATTCTGAAGTACGAGCAGGGAATAGAGCATCGCTTGGCTCTCATACCAGAAGGCGATGTGACATATTCGACGACGACGATGGGCCATGTCTCCGTCTCAACTAGATTGGATACGGCCTGGACGACCCACGCGTATCAGGTGGATGGGATTCTGGGTCGACTGATAGATAATGGAAGTTTGCAGAGCAAACTCTTCCTGTGCTACCTCCATGCGCTTACTTCTCATTGCCTCCCAGACACCCTGACCGGCCATACTGGGACTGAAGCTGCTTTGTCAATCTTACGGGCAGGGGCAGCATCATCCTTCGATGTGCTTACGGCGGTCAACATTAACCTTCTCAAGGTTATTGCTCACTTGACGCCAGGACGGAAGTTCTACCCCTCTCATAGGGAGGTCATGCAAGAGGTCCATTGGGACAAAAATTTGTCCTCCATGTCTCAGCACCCCGGCTTTTATACGGCGGTAGAGGGACTGTTCTCCATATCGCGGAGAACGAAGCTGCTATATCCCAACGATATCTATGTAGATCCCCCAGAGCTCGGCCTTGGCAAGCTTCATCTGCTCGAGAGAGACATGATAAGAACATCAAATTTCCGTGTCGATGGCTTTGGCGCAGAACACTATACCCGTGACTTCGATCAACGCTACGAAGCCAGAGCTAAGGTTGCCGACTCGCAACGGGGACCGCGTAGTTCTGTTGCCGCTGGGATGATTCTTCGAAAGCAGGCTACCCTCCACTCCCCCATTTCTGCGTATGGTCTCCAAAACTCCCTTCGAACGGTTCATCTGCATAATGCCACAGTCCAAGGTCTCAATACAGGATTGAATCCGCTCATACTTCGTTATGACGCTTCGTGGCTCGTGAAGCCATCTTCCTTCCTTCCAGACATGTGGTGTAATCTACACTCATTGCTTGCAAAATTACCTTGGGACTTTAACAAATTTAATCTGATGTTCTGGCTGTCAACCGCAGCATTTGAGGAATCCGCAGATATGGATGTCATCCAAGTCCTAGCCGCATTCTACAATTGTTGTGACCTGGCATCGATCAAGATTCCTTCGGATGCCAGCTTCAACCTGGCAGAGGGAGATTCCCCTACTCTGTCCGCTATTCAGGATCTCGTACAGATATATCGGCCTTACGAAGCTTGCCCTGAGTATAATCTACCACAGCTGCTCGGGGAGCAGTATTGGCAATGGGACGCGAGAAGGAAAAGACTCTTTGAGATGAATCAAGACAACGCCGCCAAGACCTTCGCACATGCGCTCCACGACCAGTGGCCCTGCGAGGTACCGATTACACCATGCACTCAGTCTGCGGAAACGTACCTAGATACTGGGAGGGCTATGTCAGAGGTTCGTCGCATGTTCAAAACCTGGCACGATAACCGTGGCTTTTATCAGTATCTTGAAAACGTCTCATCTACTCTGGCACGACAGAGCATCGCCCGTGTGAGGACCAAAGACAACCGCGTCGTAGATGTGCCCAACGATTGTGAAGGGGAGAATGGATCCCCTTTCTACACTGTCAAAGATATCTTCAACTTAGAACCGCCGGCATCGTTCGCAGTTTGTAAGTCTACCCTAACACAATATACCATCAGCAGATCGAGTATGCATTGCCTCTTCTAGACACGCTTCACCGAATTTTCATCGCTATCCTTCCATATATGCCATACTGACATTATGCGCAGCATCGAACTCTACCGACTTATGCTTGCCGATGTTGCCCACGCCGCTTCGAATACCCACAGAGCAGCAAACCATGGATGAAGGTAGTGATCAAGCCGAAAAACGGCTCACGTCGCTATTTCGAAAGCTTAGGCTTACTGCAAAGTCTTCTCACGAAAAGGACTACATCTTGGATCTATATGAAAGTTGCGATTCGCTTACACTTCAGGAAACAAAATCCCAAATCCGTTTGGATATGCCGCAAAGCGAGCTCCTGAGGCTCGTGGAGAGAAACCTATACGACTGCCGGCAATATCTCAATGAAATGAGCTCCCTCCTACAAAGGCTTGTTAAAACAGGCAACGAGATTGCGGCTAAAATAGGCCAGTCTCCTCGCATCTCTCCAATGTTCTGGCTTCGTCAATTAAACAGAGACCGCTTCAATACCCTAACTGAGAATTGGAAAGTAGTAGTCGTTAGATACGGTCTTGCCGTGACCGAGCTCCAGCGCGCCCGGAGACTTCTAGCACTCTCTTGTCACCCACATGAGTTTGCAGAAGAGTTGCGCAATGGCGGGCATCAGAACTGGGAACCAATGGAGTTTCCGGAAACGTTGCTGCTCGAGGCTGAGAGTGGTCTATCGGTTCGCGAGGTGCAGGAAGAAATTGCGAAACAAATGAGATGCCCACCAAACTATGCAAACTCCGTCATGCAACTCAACATGGGAGAGGGAAAGTCCTCCGTCATCGTTCAGATCATCGCGGCATTCCTGGCTCAAGGTGACTTGTAAGTGATCGCATCTTCAATCGACATCTTCAATTATACTGACTGTTCACGAACAAAGACTTGTCAGAGTCATTGTTGCAAAACCGCACTCAAGACAGATGTTTCAAATGCTGGTTTCGAAGCTCGGTGGGCTGCTCAACAGGCGAATATATCATATGCCATTTTCCAGAGCCCTGAAACTCAGCTCCTCTGAAGCTGATACACTTGGTGAGATCTACCAAGAATGCAGAGCTAATCGCGGCATTTTGCTCGTCCAGCCTGAGCACATCTTGTCCTTTAAGCTTATGGGCATCGAATGCCTTCTCAATGGGCAACCTGATGTAGGAAGGTCGCTGCTGCGAACTCAAAGTTTCTTTGACAAACATTCCCGAGACATTGTCGATGAGAGTGATGAGAATTTTAGTGTCAAATTTGAGCTAGTTTACACAATGGTTGAGTACGGTGGACGACTTTCATTGACATCTCTCGCTGTGTCTACCTGGAAGGACTCATCAGTATTAGTTTACCGAGATGTGGCGTCCCATGTTTATATCATCTTCAGTCCTCATGCTGACACATGTTCAGGTACCCAAATGCCAATACAGCTCAGTCCAGAGAGGTGGACCATAATTCACTCAATCCTGGGATTGGTCGCCAGATACGCCGCCGATGTCAAGAAAATGTTTCCCTCTTCGATAGAGTTCGACGAACACCGGGTGTCAGGATATCCTCGTACGCGCATTCTCCGTGGTGATGCAGAGGAGAAGCTACTAGACCTGATCTCCGAACACGTATGTAGGGTCGGCATCTCAGGTCTTCTTTCCATAGCACGACAGTCTTCCGAGATAAGGCAGACCATCCTGCGCTATATCCGGCAGTCTGATCTCGCCCCTGGGGACATTGATAGAGCTGAAAAGGGGCTTTCTTCACGGAAACTACCAAAGGGCCACTACTCCTCTTGCGAGGTCTCATCGCGGGCGGGGTGCTAAGCTTTGCTCTAAATTCCAAGCGATGGAGGGTCAATTATGGCATCGATTCCAGCGGTGAACCGAAAACACGGCTAGCTGTGCCATACCGCTCGAAAGACAGTCCCTCTCCCCGATCCGAATTCAGTCACCCGGATGTGGTCATTACTCTCACGTCACTCACCTATTACTATGGCGGTCTGGATAATCAGGATCTCTTTGACACATTTGCACACCTGGAGAAGTCAGACCAAGCAGACGTTGAATATCAAATATGGGTCCGCTCGGCAGCAGATCTTCCCGAGGCCTTTCGGCATCTCACTGGAGTCAATATCAAAGACCGTCATCAGTGCACCACCAAGATATTCCCATCGCTTCGGTATTCGAAAGGTGCTATCGATTACTTCCTGTCTCACATTGTGTTTCCCAAGGCGATGAAAGAATTCCCATACAAGCTCTCTGCCTCCGGCTGGGACCTTGGTGCAATCAAATCGCATCCCACGACCGGCTTCAGTGGTACGAACGACTCACGTCAGTTACTTCCGCTTAGCGTCCATTATCTTGATTCCGAAAGGCAGAACCATACCAATGCTTTGGTGTTGGCTTACCTACTGCAAGATGAGAACTCGCTCAAACTACTACCGCCGCAGACAGATGCGGAGCGTCTGTTGATGATCATCGATAGAATGGAACTGCCGACTCGGGTTATCCTTGATGCTGGCGCACAAATATTGGAGCTCAGTAACATCCAAGTGGCGGAAACGTGGCTTCGCATAAGCAACTCAAACGGCACCAAGGCAAAAGCAGCCATCTTCTTCAACGACAACGAGGAACTCTCCGTTCTTGATCACAATGGCTGCTTTGAGTTACTTCAAACATCGCCATTTTCAAAGCATTTGGATGAATGCCTTGTATATCTTGATCAGGCACACACCCGGGGAACAGACTTGAAGATGCCCAAGCACTACCGGGCTGCTGTAACTCTGGGGGCAAATTTGACAAAGGACACGCTGGTTCAAGCATGTATGCGAATGCGAAAGCTGGGAAAGGGCCAGTCAGTCATCTTTTGCATTCCAGAAGAGATACAAACAAAGATTCTGGAGTGCACCTCAAAGTCATGTAGTACAGATATAGAAGTTTCCGATATTCTGGTATGGGCAATCACCGAGACGTGGGCAGACATGCGTCGGAATATATCTTTGTGGGCTACTCAGGGTCACCGCTACGAGGACCACAAGGATTACCTCAATGGAGTGGAAACGACTGTAGAGCAAGCAAAGGAGTTTCTTGAAAAGGAAGCTCAAAGCCTTGACGATCGCTATCGACCTTGTCTGCGCAATCGCTTCGATGCAATAAGGGACTGGGACACCACCAACAGAAACATCCGGGAGATTCTGAAGCGATATCGCGCCTTTGAGGCAGTATCTCTAGACACAGCAGCGCTTCAAGAAGAGCAAGAAAGAGAGCTCTCTCCAGAGATCGAGGAAGAGCGAGAAGTTCAGAAACCTGCACCTATGGAAGCTGAGAAGCACGAACTACACCCTGACCTTGTCCGGCTGGTGGGCACTGGCATATTCTCGGCAAAATCAGACGCATTCGTACCCGCATTTCGGGCTCTGGAGTCGATGAGTGCTGCAATGCAACTCGATCTTGAACAATTTCCGAATGACCTCCTCGTGACAGCGGACTTTGTGCGCACCGTCAAACACCTAGGAGGAGTCATGTCGGATTCGTATTTCTCGGACTCATACCTCAGACCTGTGCAATGGATTCTCTCAGTTATGACGGAAGATGATCTCTCCGCTAATCGATGTTTCTTTATCCTTAGCCCCTTCGAAGCTGAACAACTCGTTGCAAAAATCCAAAAATCAGACTTAGCGACGCTGCATCTTTACTCTCCGCGTCTCACCCAGAGCTATGACCCACTCGATACGCTTGACCTGTATTGCGTCGGCCATGATTTCTCTGCGTGCATCTTAAGCCTCCTACGAAGCCAAATCGTCGAGCTCAATCTCTTCGCTGGCCAACTTTACTTCAAATCCTACACAGAGTACGTGGAGCTATGCAGATACTTGGGTCTAGCGTGGGAAGCCCCTAAAGAGGGAGAAGAGCTGCAGGTCGATGGGTTCATCGTACCGCCCGTTGGTGTTTGGCGCTTAAATACAAGTCCTGTGGGGTTCTTGAGGGATTACATAAAGACGAGACGAGAAGGCGAGGGTATGGAGAAGACCCACCTGGGTAAAGTGCTTGAGGGTGGTTTGTTGGAGAAACGCGAAATTGATACTGGGTAAGTTGGATGGTTATGCCTTTTTCGTGATTGTCTATTTTGTGGTCTTGATACTGTTTATCATACGAGATACTCAGGATGAGGTCCTTGACGAAAGTTTCAAATCTGGAAACGCAGGCACAGATCAAATTTAGAGATGCATGTACTAGGATCCCTCTGTTATACCCGTACCTACCAGAGCTAGCCTCATGTTAGTTCGAACTGAATCCACTTCTGTCAAGCATCGTCCTCTGTGTTCAACTAGAGCACTAGCGTTACTGGTTCATTACGCAGGCTATGATTGTTCATGGAGGATTTACTACAGGCATCTATATGTGTTTTCTATCAAAGTTTAGTATCGTGGATATATGTATACCATACAATATGGCCCATACGTAAACGTTGATCAAGAAGCTGATCACGTCAATCTTCCATCGCCTAGTGGAGTGGACATGAACAGGGTGCCACCAAACCAAAGATTGAGCGTGAGTCGATTATTTCATAATCCTACTGGTCATCATTGAGTTACGTGGCATGGACTTATATGGCTTCGATGATGAGGCTCATGAAGACCGAAAACGCGGATAAGGTTAGAATAAATTGTTGGACATATTTTAAATGAACTCGTGGATCAAGTACGAGAGATCCTTACTATGTTTTTGATTCTCAAAAGACCTTAGGACTGTATATGTATAGCGTCAGAAAAGAGTGTGGTAGTAGGTGAGCCATAGATAGGGAAGTTTCGTATGGGTCGTTTGTGAGGAGCAGCGTCCCTTACTGGAGGTACTCGATAGCCGTATCCGGCCCTCATACCAGGCCTGACTCGGTCACGAAGCACTGACGCGTTACGCGTTTGAGCGATGTTCGGGGCCGAACATTTTTGTCTTATCGGATAGGAGAAATCGCAATGCAATTCATAACTAGTGTTAAACCGTGCTAAACCCCTGTTATTCAAGATGCGCACCATTTCACGAGGCATCATGTACTAGGATTGAACTGATCCTCCCCGGGTATTTAGACGAAAACAGTGGTTTGGAACCTGCGCCAATGCAAAAGACAAGGAGCGGAACCCGCGCTACTATGCAATAGCAGTGGAATTTTAGGCAGTCACTTGGAGGTAGCTTACATCAAGAAGTCCAGAGTGACAAGACGTAGCAGACGTAAGAGTATTGAGCGGCAGACTCCAAAACTAGCCCAGATACCTCTATCCATCCGTCCTCGATGCAACCGCCAAAGTCTGCCTCGTGAACTCCCTCTTCACATCTCTCTTCTTCTCTACTAAAACTGTACGTTGCGTCTGCAACAGCTCAATCCGCTTGTCAATGGCACTAATCTGATCCGTGAGGCCCCGGTCCGCAGTAAGTGCTTGAGAGACTATCTCAGCAAGATCTTCGAACTCTGCATCCTCGGCGGTGCGTTTAGTGCCTCGCATTTTCGGAGCGTCAACGGCGTTAGAGAGGTTATTCAATTGCTCTACGTGAGCAGTTGACGGGTGCGGAGGAGCAGATCTAGATGTGATGGGGGATGATAAAGGATTGGGCGTAACCTTGGCGAGAGTGAATTGGATATGACTTTCATCGATGGTTGGGCTTGCCTCTTCTGATCTAGTCTCTGGCTCCATTTGCCGTTCATACCCAGCGAGGGGCGGTCTGACGGAAGCAGCCCCCATCCGCTTAGCAACGTACTCAAGCGCGCTCAGCAAGCGCTCAGGATAAGCCTTCGTTTCTCTGAGCACACAATCCTTTGCTATTCTGGCTGCAATGAAGTACCACTTGACCATAAGTGTGAGTCGGGCTTTCTCGTCTTGGCCAATGCTGTGAGTCCCTTTTGGATAGGTTTTGTTAAATGGGTGTAGGATACTCTGTTTAGCAACGTCTTCAGAGCTGATGGCTGTCTTCGAAGGTGCGCGCGTATCTTCGGTATAGAATTTGATCTCGTGGTATTTGCGTGACTTTCGCATATATGCATAGATGTCGTTGCCGTGTTCTTTATGGTGACCCATAAAGAGCTTTCTTGGCTGTGCATTGGGAAGGAAGTCCTGGTTCACGAACTGGACCTCGTCTGGACCCGGTAGGTTTTTCAGCAAGTAAAGCGCGCCATATAAATCCAAGTAACTGTGCAGCTTGCCCAGATCAGAATACTCATCGTCGCTCGCGCTGACTAACGGGCTTCTTACTGGGCTTTTTACTAGGGTTACGACCTGCCTGGTTAATCTTGTTTCTATACCAAGATGGTCGCGGTGACTTGAACGTTGATCTTGCGCGCCCCTAGATTCTTCAGGTTCCGGCGTTTCAGATTCCTTTTCGGCACGTTTCTTTGCATCGATTCTCTGCAGTGCTTTGTAGAGTCGCGGACAATACTCGATAAAATCAACTTCGGGCTCGATTATGCCCATGAAGTACCATTGAATAACGATACCGAAGTCGCTCTTTCCCAACTCAGAGGCGTCGGCGCTGTACCTGAACGGCGCATTGAGTGGCAATTTCACCACCTCGTCTAGCGTAAGAGGCTGTGCTGTGGATGCATTGAGCCGACGATTGGCTGGCTTGAAGCAATATTGCACCCTGCGTGGGCTGCCACCGAAGCTTTTCATGAAGGCAAGGATGTCGCGTCCGTCGTAGGTACCAATCACAAGCGCATTCGACGGTGTTGCTGCAGGATGACGTATCCATTTCATCGACTTGTGGGTCGGCAGTGCGGCGATCAGATCGTCTGCGCCATAATAGGCGATGCGCTTCTCAATGATGTTGAGCGCCATGACTGTAGGTCGTGCACGAAACAATGCAGCTGAGAAAGCACTCGAAGCGTGGCCCTAAGTAGTCAAGAGCAATGGAGAGAATCAATGCGTTGCTAACAGTAGTGCTACCCAATAGACGAAGTGCGAAAGTTGGATAGTATGATGATAATGAAGAGTGAGGTTGTCAACGGTCTTCTTCTGGGCGACTGAAAGCTCGGACCAGACACGCGACATGACACGCTACGCGACATGCGACGCGATACGCCACACGATATAAGTGGCTCGAAATCAAACAATAGGGGACCTTGTAGGAGCACGAAGCAACGTAAGCTCGGACACCTAGTAATGGCCACACCCAGTAGTGGCCACCCCAACCACTCCACCAACAACAACTATTTTTGAATTTTGAAGCTGCCCACCACCACCACAACGTGCCTAATATGTCCAATCGCGAAGAATCTATTCAATCTGCTATCCGCGATTATCATAATGGTGTTTTTAAATCACAAAAAGCTGCTGCTGCCGCGTATGGCGTCTCGCGATCAACACTGCGCCATCGTCTCGCTGGGCGAGTACAACGCGTAATAGCTCACCGCCAC